GCCCAACTGTCTCTGTGCTTTTACAAGCTCCTTAAGTGTTTCTTGGGTGTATCCCCAGGTCAGCCATTGAACCAAACAAATGAGATTCTGCACATTTCAGACAAGAAAAGCTGTGTAGAAGAGTTTTGGGGGGGCGGGGGTGTTTGAGGGGAGGGTATGGGGAAGTGGGAAGAAGAGTTAAGGCGATCTTTCCAGGGCCCCAGAAATCATGCCAGGCAGAAGGGGCCCGCAGGAGGCTGGCCTTCCCAGCAACGGCCCTCTTGTCCTCTTGCTGCTAGTGCCCGAACACCTGACCCTTCAGAGGTGGGGTCAGCCTGGGACTGTGTGCACCCCACTGGAAGTCTCAGTTACTATCTGACTGCTCAGGGCTCCCTTTGAGGGTGACATTCGGACCTACGGCCACTGGAATGGAACCCTTCTGTTTTGCTTTTGCATTGCTTTGGAGCAGCTGCCCACAGTGCAACCTCACATGCCACTCAGGGCGGTGACCTCCTGTGCCCTGTCCCAGCCAGACTCCTGTGCTTGAAAGGAGGGCTCCCTGTGCCTCCTGTCAGGTGACTGGAGGTTCTGTCCCTGGCCACAGTCCCAGGGGGCACGGAGACCTATAAAGCCCAAATGTCCTTGATTTACTCCCTCTTCTGTTCTTGCTCAGCCGCTTTTGTTTGGTTCTCTCAGTTCCCAGCCCCTATTTCTCTTCCGAGAGGACTGATAAGCCAAGCCTCAGGAAGCATCAGAAGCTGCCAGGGGCTGTCTCCTGGTGAGGTTACAATGCATTTCACTATGCAAGCATCACCTTTGGCAAGTGGCCCCTTTAGTTGTCATGACAACTTGGGTAGCTTGTGTCTTGGGGGTATGCTGTGCCCTCATTCTGGCTGACTACAGTCCCTTGCCCCAGCTTTCTTTCCCAGATCCTTTCAACAGGCTTACAGCATCCTGGCGCCACCTCACATTAACTATTCTTTAGTTTGGAGCAGCTTTGTCTTGATCAGCAAAAAAAACGCTTGGCTTAGCTATCAAAGGAATAGATCAAGCCATTCCTCTCCTTAAAATGCTCCAGCCTCTCGTCTCTCTCAAAGCCAAAGTCTTTACCATGGCCTACAAGGTCCTACATGATCTGGCCTCAGTTCCCACCACTCTTTCCCTACCAACCCCTCCAGGCACACTGGCCTTCTCCCTGTTGCTCAGACACACTAAGCAGGTGCACCTCAGGCCCTTTGCACTTGCTGCTATACTCTGCCCTGAGTTCTGTGTGCTTCTTCCCTCCCTTCATTCGTGTCTTTGCTCAAATATCCCCTCCTCAGAGAGACCCCCCGACCACCCTACCTAGCATGGCAGCCCTCCACCCTTTATCCAGCTTTCTCTCTCCCCATAGCACTCTTCAACCCCTGGCATTTTATCATAGACTCAATTTTTTGTGGGTTTAATGTCCACTTTCCCCAGTAGACTGTCCCTGGAATGGGGGCAGCCCATAGTCGACACTCATAATCATTTGTTACGTAAGTGAATGAATGACTAGCCCTGGATTCAAAACCTGGCTCTGCTATTTGGTAGCTTTATGGCATTGCACCAGTCACCCGGTCACCCTGGGCCTTGGTCTTCTTGTCCGGAAAACAGAGGTAATAAAATCTGCCGGCTAGAGTGACAAGAATAAATGAGGTGGCAGGTGAGCAGGACCAAGGGCATGCCCCACGGACGGTGGCTGACATCATCTCCATTCTTGTGTCAGCTGCATTCAGAATGCTCTCCTTGCCCCAGGCTCCTGGACACCCCGAATACTTCCAAGGCTCCTGTGACTCTGTGATCTGCCAGGGAAACTGCAGAAGCAAAAGACAGCCAGCAAGAGGGCGAGGAGAGAGCCCCTCTCCTACAAAGGGGCTGTGCACTCACGCTGGGGCAGCCACGGCTTTATATGGAAGACCAGCCCATCTCGGCCTCCCCACTACCCTCTGTCTGTTCACAAGGCCTCAGAGACGGTCTTTGCCGGGCTGGATGGTGCACCCCTGTGTGGATCCAGCAGCCCTGCCCCCAGTGGCCTCTCTTGCCGTGCGCGGCTGCAGGATGCCCAGCCAGTCACCCCCGAGCAGGGACTTCACTGCGTCTTTCAGGGGTTCCCTTGGGGTGGGGTCAAAAGCTGTCAGAAGGAGGAAGGAGATTCACAGCGTTCCTTTTTTAACAGGCTGGAAGATACATTGGCCCATTTCTGACACTGTTAAGAGAGGACATATTCTGTCCATGTGAAGTCTTCCTGTTATCAGTTTGATGTTAAGATACTTCCTTCAGTTTATCTCGTCTGACATTTTCCAAAGAGGACGAACACCGGCAAACACGATAGCATTGAGTGCACCCTGCACGTGGGGTCTGCACGAAGCGCTGGGGAGATGGGAAGAGCAGAAGGCTGGTCCCTGCCCTCGAGGGCCTTCCTGAGCCCAGGCTTTGGGGAGCCTGGGCAGAGTGGACAGGCAGTCTGGCTCATTGGGGCCAGTAAAATGCACCAGCACGGGCGACAGTGTAGTCTTCAGTTGGGAAGTCTATGGTCTCTACATCTCCTGTGTTTAGATGATGGAGTAAGACACTTGCGCAGTCAGTTTACAGGTGACAGTTGTCGCTTGACACAAGGGAGAAAGTAACAGGTGCCTGGAAGATAAAGGGCAGAATGCTGATCTACTTAGCATATTTATCAATGAGTTAGATAATGACATGAGGGCAGCCAAAGGGGAAAGAATAAAGGCCTGACAGAATAAGGACCTCTCAGCAGGCTGAACCCCCGATCAATGGGAAGTCTCGCATTTGGGATCAAAAGGATAATCATACTGAAAGACGCATTTTGACAACCACTCATAAAAATATGAAAGTGTTTAAACTGATCACAAGCTTAATAGAGGCCGATGACAAACTGACATGGCCATGACAATGACAAAGCTGCTGAAAAACAAAAACAGTGTTGGCTGCCTGGTATAAACATTTACCTCTTTGGAACCAGAAAAATTGGGTTCAAATCCCAGCTCTGCCACTTATTCGCTGTGTGACCTTGTGTTATTCATGGCCCTCTCTGAGCCTCAGAATCTAACTGAAATGAGCTGGTAATGCCTTCCCTGCTGGGTTATTTTGAGAGTTAGCAATGGGTGAACAGAGCACCTGGCCCAGTGCCCAGTGGAACGTGGCAGAAGCTCGCATATAGAAGGCACTCAATAAATGGTCTTTGTTAGCAATTCACCTGCTATAGAGTATAGAATGTAAATTTCTAAAAGCTGGGAGAGCCCTTCTCTACCCTGTCCCTCTTAGACCTTTCTGGAGTCTTATGTCCAGATCTAGGCCCTATACGTAAGATCAGTTAGAAAGTAACCAAGTCACTTAGCCCTCAGATGAAGGAATTGTGCAGAGTCAGCCCAAGAATAGAGCTGCAGACACATATGGTATTTTGTTGCTGTTGTTGCTAAAATATATCAAGAGCCATCAGATTAAGGAGGAGGGCATGCTCTGCTGCCCCGAAGATCCCAAGTAGAAATGAAAAGAAGGGAGCGGGCAGGTCTCCGCTCAGTAAGAGGAAACAGCGCCTGCAGTGAAATGTGCAATTGTGCAAAGTAGCGAGCTCCCCACTTCGGGAAGTATTTGGGCAGAAAGCAGATGACCATCTGCCAGATACCCCGTAGAAGGAATTTCTGCTTCCAAGGCCCTTGAAACCAAACAAACCTGGATTTGCATCCAGTTCCTGAAGTCAGCTGTGTGGCCTTGGGCAAGTCAACCTCTTTGAAGCTCAACGCCCTTATCTGTAAAATGGGAACAATATTGCCTCCAATGAGTACTAGAAAGGTGAAGTCTGATCACGTTCAGAAAGCATCTGGCCCATAGTAGATTCTACCCCGCGCGATGTAAAAAGCAGGGCTGTGTGGAGGCCGGCCCCGTAGCTTAGCCGTTAAGTGCGTGCACTCCGTTACTGGCGGCCCGGGTTCGGATCCCAAGTGCGCACCGACGCACCGCTTGTCAGGCCATGCTGAGGCCGCGTCCCACATACAGTAACTAGAAGGATGTGCAGCTATGACATACAACTATCTACTGGGGCTTTGGGGAGAAAAAGGGGAAAAAAAGAAGGAGGATTGGCAATAGATGTTAGCTCAGGGCCAGTCTTCCTCAGCAAAAAGAGGAGGATTGGCATGGATGTTAGCTCAGGGCTGATCTTCCTCACAAAAATAAAAAAACAAAAGCAGGGCTGTGTGACTTCTAAAGGTGCCTTCTGTGAGGCTAAGAAATGCAGTATAACCACAGAGATTCCTAGGAGGATAAACAGACCTCCCCCCACCAGACCAGGCTAGGAAAGGACAGGCTCCAGACAAGCACACCAGCCAGAGCTGGTACCCAGGCAAACAACAGTGGCAGTCAGCAGATATGGGGACACCACCCTCCCCCAGGCTTTGCCTTGGTGTCGCCCTGTCCTACGGGCAGGGTGTCTGCGTGTGGTTCTCAGCCCTGGTTGCATATTAGCATTGCCTGCGTTACTCCAGCTTGGGAACCACCGCTTCAGAGGGAAGTTAAAAACAGGAGATATGATTTGAGGCTAGAGAATTTGGCCCCTCAACTGGTGCAAAGAAAGACACGAGCCAGTTTAGTGATGTCTTCTTGGTTTGTGAAGGACTCTGTATCAAAGGATGGGGAAATGCAATTTTGCATCTTCCCTGGGGACACAGGAGGAAATGAGAGAACTCAATAGTAAAAGGATTAGTGGCGACTTAAGGAAGAATTCTCTTCCAATGACAGATGTTGGGTAGTGGGAGGGACAGCCGAAATACTCATGGAAGCCACTCCTCGGGGGTTTTCAGCCAAGCAGAGGTTGCCATCCAGAGGAGGGGACTGAAGCAGGTTCCCATCCAAACACCCCAAAAGGGACTCACAGGGTCCCCTTTCATCTTGGGATGCACTCTGACCTGTCATCTGCCCTAAATATCACACCTCCCCTTTCCTTTTCCTCTTCATTGGAGTAACCTATCAGTATCTCCCTTGTACAGGCATCTCGGAAAACATAGCCACACCCAGTATGCCAGACCAGCTGGAAGAGAAGCTGAGATCACAGCTGGAGGAAGAAAAGAGAAGGTGCCTTTTCTCTCTGCCACACACACCCTGACCCCAGCCTCAGAGGGCTCTCGGGGATGACCTGTAGCTGCCCAGGGCAGGGCAGAGTGACCAAGCCCCGATCCAGGCCTGGAGCTACTCTGGGAAGGGGGTTCTGAGCTGGGTCCTAACATAGCTGGAGGAGGTGCTGCCTTTGAGCACCTGACGTGAAATGCAGGAACCCTAGGCAGTGCCAGGTTGGAGTGGGGAGCAGAAGGCCAAAGCAGGCCCCAGAGCCAGAATTCACCAATCAGGGAGCGCGGTTTGCTGTTGTCACTCTCTTCAGCCGAAGGTCCCAGGCTGCAGCTCTAGAAGCCACTAGTCTTGTCTACTGCTGCCATCTAGGGGAGCTGAGAAGTATGACCATGGAGGTCTTCCTCATGCCTGCAGCTTTACCCCACTTCCCTCCTGTCTCCTTATCTGTAAGGTGTCCTGAGAACAGCATACCATCCTGCAGCCATTTAGGGTCCCAAAATGATTTCACTTACAGGTGAAGAACCTCCGGCATAAACAGACGTGTGGCCATTACCAATACACAGCATGGTCACAGAATCTCACTTAACCCTCCAGTCAAACTCCTTAGTCCATTCATTCATTCATGCATTCAGCAAATGTTTGCTGTCTCCTCTGTGCCATGGAGAGGTTCTGGGGAGACCAAACAAGTCACCTTCCTTGTCCTCAAGGAGCTGATGGTGTCATTGCAACACAGGCCACCCCTGTGCTGACTAGGCATGCACCCTGAGCAAACCCAATCACGCTGCCCCCTACTCACGCACACACACGCACACGCATGCCCCCGCCATCCTGAGAGATGAGGAGAAGAAAGCCCCACACAGCTGGTCTCCAGGTGCCTCCTGACAACTGTACACTGGGTCTCTCCCGCCAGCGTCCTCCTTCCAGAGTGCCTCGCACCAGCCTCCTGGACGTGCCGCTGTTGCTCTCGGCCACCTGGAGTCGCTCCCCACTTGTCCTGTGTTTCCCTCACTTCATTTGTTCTTCTCAGTTTCTGTCCAACCCATTCTTCTTGTGTCTTTCCTCCACCCCCATCTGTTCCCTTGGCCCACATTTCTAGCCTCAGGGTCATCCCAGAAGCCAAGTGGTCTCTGCAGTTTGGCTGTTCAGCTGCTTCCTGTTGGACAAATTCTAACTGCTTGTAGCCCAAAACCCACCCACGCACAACAAATGTATCATAACCTCCATCACGAAGGTGAACCAACGGAATGGTGAGGCAGTTAAGACTGTGGTTCTAGAGCCGATGGCCTGGGTTCAAATCCTGGGCCCTCTGTTTATTAGCTCTGTGCCATAGAGCACGTTACTTAACCTCTCCCTGCCTCAGGTTCCGAATCTGTCAAGTGGAGATGATGGTAACAGTATCTTCTGCACAGGGTTGTGAAGAGGATGAGATGAGTTTATCTATGTTGAGTGCCTAGAGCATGCTGCCCCTGAGTAAGTGCTCAGTGATGGTCGTTAGCATTCTGACAGGAGAAGGGGTTGTTCATCCCACACACAGGGCCCCATGGGCCCTGGACAAAAACACCCGGCTCTGCTTCTTTACGGTGGACTCAAACCCTGGCGCCACGCCCAGGCCTCTGCGGGCTCCTACAGGGTCCCAGTCGTGGCACTAGGGCTGCCAGGCTTCTGAGGCACAGGCCCTGCAGCGACAGACCATTTACAGCCCTCCCTCATGGCCAGTGACTTTCAAGACTCTTCTCTGATTCCACTGTAGGTATAAGGCCATGTTCTCGCGCCTCAAGGCCCTGAAGGTGGAGATCGAGCACCTGCAGTTTCTCCTGGACAAAGCCAAGGTGAAGCTGCAGAAGGAGTTTGAAGCCTGGTGGGCAGAGGAGGCCACCAGCCTGCAGGTATTGGCAGCGCGTCCCCGGCTGCCCCAGAGCCCACCCTCCTCCTGTGGCCTGGGGAACATCAGGGCAGCTAGGGAGGAGCCAGACACACAGCCCCTGTGGGGCTGCCAGAGGAGAGGGAGAGTGGGGGCTTCGACCCACAGGCCCACGTGCTCTCAGCCCTGGCTCAGGAAGCAAGTGCTCGTTTTAGTAATGAGGAATGCAGGTGATCCGGGGCTCATTGCTTCCTCGCTCTGGTGCCTGACGCGTAGAAAGGTGGGGAGGGAAGGTGTAGCTCCCCAAACCAATGGGCTTGCCACCACTGCTTTCTGTGATGTTCTCTGTGATATAGTATTGACAACATTTTTTTTTCTTCTTACAGTCATTCATGTATATATATATATAAATTATATAAATTTTAGAAAATATAGAAAAACACAAAGAAGCAAAAATCACCACAATCCCACCACTTAAGGATAACCAGTGTTAACATGTTGGATTATATTATCTTTTTTTCTGTGCATATACATCCATATGTTTTTATAAAAATAGAATCATACTGGTCTTCAAGTGTCACAACGGCTTTTTTTTTTTTTACTTAATTGTATAGCATGACCACCCTTCCGTGTTATTGTCCTACAGTGGTATTCTAACGGCTGTCACTTTCCCATCATGTGGATTTATTTTCATCTATTTAACCAGTCTCCCGCTATTTATTATTTAGGTTGTTTCTAGTTTTTCACTGGAAGCATATTTGTAGATAAAATTTTGCACATTTCCTAGAGAAATTCGTAGAAGTTCTCTGTAATATGATGAAGGCTAAAATAACCTGTTAAGACGTGTTAGTACAAACCCCCAGTTCCGACTGTCCTCGTGTGACTCCTCAGCTGTGGTACGATGGAAGTGATGAAATACACCTAATCTTGTCACTTGCGTGGCTGGCAGAACCTTAGAGATGATCTAACAGGCAGATGCCTTCATTTTAAGGACAAGGAAACAGAAAGCCAGGAAAAGATTGAGGACACACAGCCAAGTAGTAGCCAGTATGTTACCAAGCAGCCATGTGACCAGATGATAAAGAAGAATATTTGGATAAAATTAAATACACAAGAAGACAAAGAAAACCAACAAGACTGAAACACAGTTCTTGAAATATTTTTAAAATGAAGTTATGGTGTAATAATATGTATACTACTTTACAGATGCATTAATTAATAAGGTCTCGGGGCCCGCCCAATCATAGTTTCAAAGTAACGATGAACACAATATTTCAAGATTTCTGCAACAACTGTAATGTGATGTGAAAAATATCTGTGATTTCTTCTGGTGACGAAGTCCTTGGTACTGCTAATATTACTGTGGTTTATTGTCTACATCTATCATTGAAAGAAATGCCCCATTTCAGGAAGAAGTTAGGAAAAATAAAGATATAATTGGCTCGCATCCATGTTCACAGCGCCCCTGGTTCTGTCTGCACTCCGGTTAAGAACCCTTCCTAGCGAGGTCATCAGGGAGTGAGACTTTCAGCCGCTGAACAGTCGATGAGGGTCGTCTGGTGTGACTCAGAGGTGTCCCGGCAAAGCAGAGAGATTCAGACAGTTTATTACTTACACTGACGGTGAAAGCCAGAGTAGCCACAGGTGTCAACTGCATGTGTACTCTGTCCCACAGAATGTCACTGAAACCAAAGGGACCAGATGACTGCAACAAGGAAGATGGGGCTCCCTGTTGCTGAGGAGTCAATTCTGTGCTGCCACTAGGCAGTTTTGTAGCCTGCAGATGTACCCCGAGCAGGGCGAGGCAGAAAGCCTTAAACCTCATCATGACATGAGAGGCGATGAGAAACTGTCACCTGACAGTGTCCTGGGGAGATAGGTAGACAAGCGGGAAATAGCCTTGTAGCAACTCCTCCTAAGCCTCCTGTGTGCTCATGTTCTGGGAGAATGGTAGAGCATTCTGCCAAGACTCAGAGAAGCTGCAATTTAAGCCTTGCTCAGGAGCCCTGCATGGAGACACGCGAGGTTCTCAGGGCGCCCTGGTGGAGCTGTTCGCCTACGTGAAGTGCTCAATGGATCTCTCTAGACTCTGGCAGCATCTCTTTGGAACAAGGGGAAGCAAACCAGAAAGGACTTCTGGAGAATGATCAGATCACATTTTAAACATGTTTTCCTAACTGCAAAAAGTAATACATGCTCAATTTAGAAAACACAGAAAAACACAAAGAATCAATCAAACATTACCCGTAATCCTGGTGTCGCAAGATAATATTTTGATGCCCATCGTTATGGTCATTAGTATGTTTAGATTTATTTTTTCCCACATATGTTGTATTTACCAACTTCTATAGGTGGCTTCTTCCCCTTGAGAAATACATCAAGGACATTTTCCCGTGTCGTTAGATTCAAGCTAACATTGTGATCTCCTTCTTGGGCCAACAGGTAAACTCTCCAGCAGTGAAAGCCCTCAGTCCCATGAAGCCCTTTCCCCAGACGCCTGAACCCCAGCATGAAAGGTCCCAGCATCTCTCCAACAAAAGGTAAGGAGAGAACTCTGCCGATGGGGTGAGGGTGCCCAGAAAAGGCTCCCCACCTCTCCTCAGCTGTTCTTGCTGCTCTAAGTGTCTCCATAGGCTACATGATGTGGGAGGATGAACTACTTTTACTGTTAAATTCGTTGTAGATACTTTGAGGACCCCGCTTCAGTCCTCTCCCCCTCACTCTGACAGCCAGTGGACCTACTGCCACGGCAACAAGAGACTAGTGGCATAACCACAAGCCCTGGTCCTGCCCCTTGAGCAGGAAGAAGGGGTTGGCAGTAGCAGGGAGGGGAGAGTAGCCTGGGAGAGGGAGGGGGAGTTGGGATGGGGGGATGTTGGTGGTCAGCCTGCCAGGATACAGGGGAGCTCTGGTAAAAGACTCTGTCTTAGCCCAGATTCAGGGGAGTGTGCAGCCTCCCGTGAGGACGGCCTCCACATGAGGATGGCCCTGAGCCAGTTTCCATGAATGATGGCGTGATCCAGCAGGGACTCTGGTGCCCCGCACACCACCTTCTGAAGACAGGTTCCTTCCCATGCCATCCACACATTATCTTTTTCCAGCCACACAACTCGGGTGGTAAAGCCCGTGACACATGCCTCAGCCATCCTCCATCCCCTAGACAGACCTGGTACTGTCGTGACGGAGGCCGGGGCAGCATGAGTGGGGCCTCAGCCTCTGCCGCCAAGGAGCGATCCTTTGACCGGGTTTGAACAGAGCTGAGCTCTCATGTTGGAAATATGAAATAGAGCTTTCGACCAGGGTGAGGGGGAGTGCCAGACAGTATCCTTGATATGATGTGATGAGAATGGTGCTTCACCTCTGTGATCTTCTTCTCAAAAACCCATAACCACAGTCAAATCATGAGGAAAACGTTGGACAAGTCCCAATAGAGGGATATTCTACAACATGTCTGACCAGTACTCCTCAAAACCGTCAAGGCCATCAAAAACAAGATAAGTCTGAGAAACTGTCACAGACAAGAGGAACCTAAAGAGATACAACAACAAAATGTAATGTGCTATCCTGGATGGGATCCTAGATCAGAAAAAGCACATTAGGTAACAACTAAGAAAATCTGAATAAAGCATGGGCTTTAGTTCATAATAATGTATCAACGTTGGTTCATTAGTTGTAACAAATGTACCATACAATGTAAGATTATATAGGAAGGGAAACTGGGTATGGGGTACTCTTTGTACTGTCATTTCAACTTTTCTGTAAATCTAAAACCATTCTTAAAAAAGGCCAGTGAGCCCTTCACCACCTGGATGACATTTTCTCTGGGCTTCTCTACATTCCCCAACCTGCCCTCCATGCCAGCACTTCAGCATGTATTCTAGTTTTAGGAAACATCTCCTATGTGAGCCCCAAAGCCCAGGGTCAACAGCTGGCAAGGTGTGTTCTGTTTGGCTAGCCTGGTGTTTTAAAAGGTGGTGTAGATCTATGAAAGAAAAATTGATAAGTTGGACTTTATTGAAATTAAAAATGTTGCTCTGCAAAAGACACTGTGAAGGGGCCGGCCCCGTGGTTTAGTAGTTAAGTGCGTGTGCTCTGCTGCTGGTGGCCCGGGTTCAGATCCCGGGCGTGCACGGATGCACCGCTTCTCCGGCCATGCTGAGGCCGCGTCCCACATACAGCAACTAGAGGGATGTGCAGCTATGACATACAACTATCTACTGGGGCTTTGGGGG